TTGTATTAGATGTGAAAAACAGAATGTACATTAGAAGAAACGTATGAGTACAGTTTACTCAATTATCGTCAACAAAGTCAACCTACACTAAAAGACGACATTGAAATGAGTCTGAGTCTATCGCAGACGGGAGTTTAATATGTATGAGCCGATCATCGAGTAAGGGCGTATAGTGTCGGTAGAATAATGCATGCACTATGCTAATCATTATGGTACTCACAATTTCGGGACTAGTCAATGGTAGATTATGATGTCAGTTAGATCTCTTACCATCCGTTTTGTTAGGTTTAAACTGTTCTCGTTACGTCTTCTTTGGTACGAAAGGGCTATTAATTATTGAAAATTTACAACTTAACTTCTTCAGTTCGCTCCTAGAGCAGGATAAAAGCTTTGCATCACTGATACATGTTAAATTTTTCAAGATAAACAGGTAAAATTTTCGAAAAAGTAGCTTCGTTCTTTTCGATTCGGCTTACCCTTTCCCGAGCCGATGGCAGAATTTCCTTGCAGTCTTCCGTTCGAAGACGAGATTGTACGTCCGGTCTTTGGTCATCATTGTGATTACCATAATCCTTGCATTATTCCACAGCCAGTACGGCGATTTTACTCCGTGGTATGCTGATGAACATCAGATCCACTTCTATGGTAAACTTAGCTTCATTTCAACGTCATTTGGTAGATTAGACCCGACTGTATTGAGCCTTATAGGAAATTCAACCCGATTCGTATTTGTGAGATACCAGACGATGCAGTATGGCTCTGTTAATCGTACCCTTACAGATCACTGTTGCTACCTATGCGTTAGACTGTTGCTTCTTTATAACAGCCGTAGTGAAACTTCTTGTATCTATGATCTTGGCCAAGATCTTGGGTTAAGAAATGTCACAAAATCTTGGAAAAAACACCAAGAAGTCAAGTTCTTGGATTCTTGAATCTTACACTCAAGATCTTGAAACACCTTAGCTTACTCCACTCAAGATCTTGAGTGATGCACTCAAGATGTTGCGAGAGTGAAAAATTTCCTTTACATTTTGTTTTTATTTATGGCAGTCATAGCCATCGCATATATAACCATATATAGTCATAAATTTTTCCTTAAACAACTATGGTTAGCAGGAAAAAAATTCGAAGTTATTCTAAGTGTGAAAATATTTTGCACTTCTATTTACACAAGGATGTAAAACAAAATAATGATTCAAGAATTTCTGAGATCTTGGTGCAAGAAGTCAAGAAGTTACAAGATGTTCAAGATCTTGAATTCTTATATTTTCTTACCAAGATCTTGAATCAAGATCTTACTGGAAAAATTCAAGAAGTCAAGATCTTGGTTACAAGAAGTTCCACTAGAGAGATATCCACAGTGTATTATGCTTGACATTAGACTTGTTTTGTCTAACAGTGTTGAAATAGAAGTAATTTTCGTGTGTGTTCTGCATCGTGTACTGTGACTTAATGAAAAAATAAACAAACTATATATATATTTGAACTGAATAACAGTTTGTACCTTGGAACAAATACCATTTTCTTTTACCAAGTGATTGATTGCGAACACTTATAAAGTAATATATATTTATAGCCTAGTAAGAAATTTTTTATTGTATTGTGTACGACGAAGATAAGGAGAAAAAGATATATCGAAAACTTTTCTATAGTAGAAAATGTACGAGATCGGTAGCAAATTTCTTGTAATGATTTTTACGAATAAATTGTTCACGAATCACAGAGAGGATCCAGGAGTTTCAAATATTTCGGAACCAGAATCTGTCATCTTCATATATACTGAATATAATATATCAATTGTATTGGAACAAAATATCTTCGTTAGATTTCTTCAAGATTAAAACTTTAGCGAAATTCTTTCTCGCAGTTAACAGTATACAGAGAAATATTGAAACTTATGTATGAGTCAGGTAATTTCTGTTACGTACAACACTTCCTCCCAGTAAAGAAAATGTACGATGTTCTAACAGATTCTATATTACACCTGTATCATAAGACATGAAATTTATATAAGCAGTTTGTGCAGTTAGTTAAAAGGACACTAGTATTCGAGTAAGCGCTTAATGGTTACAGGTATTATGGATTTGATTCTCATTCTAATTTATACTCTATTGACGTATCTGACATAAGTACGTAACGAAGTCAGTACTTGTCTTTTTTCAGAAATAAATTCACTTGTAGTACTTAATTTTTCATTTAACAAGTACTTGTCAAGTAAAATTACAAGTATTTCGCACTTGATTTCGAACTTTATGAATTTTCATTCAAAATGTTTGTGATGACTCACATATCAACAAAAAACAGTGTTTGATCTCACATTTTTACAAAATTGTTTTTGTTAGATTTATAAAACAGCGACCACACACATTCAGGACTCGAAATAATTAGAAAATGTGTCTTTTTTTCTTAATATAAAGTTTTCAAAAATTTTATTTTTTCGCACAAATTATAAAAGAATATTTAGAAATTATATCTCGAACAGGAAATTTTTTTACTTTTATTCAATATTTCTAAATCATATTTAGGATCTAGCGTACACATATATACTACCTCACATCAGTATTCATCAATTAGACTGTATAGTCTGCATGATCATCAATCAACTAATCTTTTGTTTTCTCTAACAATCTCTCGTTGTACAATTGTATAAATGAAATAGATGAGCACTAAAACAGTATCAATCATCTGAATAGAATGATTTATCAGTATCTATGCTAGAGAACAACATGAGCAAAAAGAAAATTTGACATACACAAACAATTAATATTCACATAGTGGAAATTATCATGCGGTTCTCATTGTTTATATATTCTGTTGTTTGTGTAATTAGAATATTACATTGTTCTGAAATATAGGATGAAAATATGAAAAAATAGGATACAAAAGTCTGTATTTAAATCTAAGTCTTTGTCATGTCATGTTCATGATGATAAACCATAAATAATTTTCATTAAAAATGAAAACTACACTCTTGTTGTGTTAAAAAAGCACAATTGGTTGAAGGAATGAACGAAGTATTTTAGAAATTTTATTATTTGTATTTAAATTTCTTCAAAACTTTTATTAAATAAATTGTGTTTTTTCAATGGAGACTTGTCATCAGCCTACAGACTGTCTGTTCGTTTTGTTTACGAGAGAAATAAAATTTATTTCAACTATATTATTGGAATTCTCTATCAATAATTTTGAAGCTCTCAGTCGGAAACAGAAAGTTATTTGAGTTGTATGCATTTGTCAAAAAGCTTTTAAAAACTGTTTAAATATTATTTCCGAACAATAACAAAAAGAGTTTGATTTATTCGTCCTTAACATTAATCGACCTTTCTTTTAATGTATTGTTTCTCGTATATTAATCATCTACGATATAAAATGTCAGTTCAGACAACAACAATCCTTAAACATAAATAAATTTCAACATTCGGTTCTTCCGAACAAAAAAAGGAACAAATTTTTCCTCAATAACAATCCAAAGCAGAGAGAAAATTCATTCACTAAAGTGAAAATTGAATTATCACCTCTAAAAATGGATTGATATACACCGAGCAATGATATGCTGTTTTCTTATCTAATGAAAAATATTTTATTCTACCGATCTTAGACGGTGATGATCGGTTTGCTTATTCATTATCACTAGTAATGACAAAATACTTTATGTAAACTGAAAAGAATTAGATAAAAGTACAAAAGTCACTTAAATTCAGTTTGATCACTTTAAATTATTCATGATTTTCAAATTTTTCTGCATCTGCATCTCGGCTTAAAAATATTGTTGTTTTCGCCTTTGACAAATACATACGCACGCATTCATTACTAATAATTTTTGAAAAATGCAGACGACGAGGAGGATATAAATAGAACTAATGGTGATGATTGAACGTTGATTCATATAAATGGAACATTTGTGCTAATTTAATGCAGATTTATCTTAAACAATAACATAGAAAAAAAGAAGAAGGAGAATTTATTTTCACAGCGGTACTTACACGAATGTTACATTATTCATGAACGACAAATCGGTTTCATGTTAAAAGAAAATTTTTCCGAGAGCGTTGGTGTATCTCTCTATAAATATATATGCAAAACAATAGTATAACTTTAATTGTAAAAAAATGTCCACAATAGTTAGTGAACTTCGAAACTGTACCAATAATAATCGTATGACATCGTCTAATAAACAATTTCGAAAAAGTTATAGTATTGAATATGGTTATAATTCCCGTAAACGAACATTGATTGCCGATGCTCAATTTGATCGAGATAATGAAGTGGGTGGTGATAGTGGTGTGCAACAAACAACAATTTCGACCGGTGATAGTCATCAACAACAACAACAACAACAACAACAAGAGTGTACCTATACAGTCATTGTCACATTGAAAGATAAAAAGAGTGCATCAGTTTTAAATTTAATCAATACATTTAATCGAGAAGGTTTGAAAGTTCAACATATCGAAACAAGAAAATCATTACCATCACCAAATCGACAACAAATAGATGGTAAGAGAATTAAATACATCTCGTAAATATTTTGTTCAGCTCAATAAAAAAACGTTAACATTCTAAAGTGGTATTTCTAGGATTAGATGTTTTAATGGAATTTTCTTGTACCGATAAATTAATGGATGATTTAAAATGTATGTTATTTCAAAATGATTCAAAATTTGTTGTTAAACATGTGAGAGAAATAAAACCCTCAATAACTAATAAAAAAGTTTGGTTTCCATCCTCTATATGGGAATTGGATAATTGTCATCATTTATTAACAAATTATCAACCAGATATGGATTCACGACATCCCGGTTTTAGTGATAAAGATTATCGTCAACGTCGTGCACAAATCGCACAAATAGCATTTGATTTTAAACATGGTGATTTAATACCAAAAGTACCATATAGTATTGATGAAATTAAAACATGGGGGTAAAGTAGATCTTATTGATCAATTGATTAATATAATCCAATATACATGTCTTTTTTTTAGTCTTATCTATCGTCAATTAAGCAAACTTTATCCAACATGTGCTTGTAAACAACATCGTCTTGTATTAGATGTACTAGAAAAAGAATGTAGTTTTAACGATTCATCTATACCACAATTAGAAGATGTATCAAGATTTATGAAACGTCGTTCTGGTTTTCAATTGAGACCATGTGCCGGTTAGTAAATCAAATCTAAATTATGTTGAATATTACTCTCATTTTTATTTTATTATTAGGCTTATTATCAGCTCGAGATTTTTTAGCTAGTTTAGCGTTTCGAGTATTTCAATGTACACAGTATATGCGTCATCCATCAACTCCATTGCATTCACCTGAACCCGATGTTGTACACGAACTATTAGGACATGTACCATTATTATCGGATCCAAATTTTGCACAATTTTCACAAGATATTGGTTTAGCATCATTAGGAGTTAGGTAAATTGTGTTTATTGTTATATTCATGAAAATTCAGATAGTTAAACTTATTTTTAGTGATGATGATATTGTCAAATTATCAACATTATATTGGTTTACAGTTGAATTTGGTTTATGTCGTGAAAATGGTCAAATAAGAGGTAACAAATGTTAATGTTCTAAAATGTTTTTTTCATATTATTTTTAAATTCTTTCAGCATACGGTGCCGGTTTATTATCTTCATTTGGTGAACTACAGCATGCATTGTCAAGTACACCAGAAATAAAAGCATTTGAACCGGAAATAACATCTGTTCAAACATATCAGGGTATTGATAAATATATAAGTATTCTGGGTCATTGAAAATATCGAATATTATTTTCATTCTAGATGAAGATTATCAACCAATTTATTTTGTTGCTGATAGTTTTGAAAATGCTAAAGAAAAACTTCGTCAATATGCTAAATCGATGAATCGACCATATGAACTGGTTTATGATCCCTATACACAATCTTTAAGAATACTAAATGATGTTAAAATTGTGCACGATTTAAGTTCAGTATTAAAATTGGAAATGGATGTTTTAGAAAATGCCTTAAATCGGTTACAAACAAATGGTCAACATTTTCGAATTGATCGATAATAGATCACATCAGTTATATTTTAAATGAATCAGTACGATGATATATAGAAATATTTTTTTAAACTAGAATTATGCAAGAATAGTGTTCTATATTCAAGTAAAACAACAACAGCTCTTGAGAAGTCTCTATAGGATATCAGAAAAATGTTAATAAAACAATTAAGTTTTTTTGTCAGAAGTATCTCAAGCAACATACACTGTTTATAGAACATACATTCCATCTTTCTCTTACATTATTTTTGTCGTATATGAATGTTTTACCTAAATTAAATATTTTATGGTAGAATTTTGATTTTAAAAGTATATGATTAAATAAATTCTGTAATCAATGATCTATATCAATTTGAATAGGAGTTATGAGTTTTATCTACGGTATTGTCAATGTCTTGAAATTAGTGCAAAAATAATGATGCATCATTTTTATAAAGAATATGAAATTTTGAAACGTTGAAAAAATTTAATTTTAACCATTTTTTCATTATTATATAATAGTGACTATTTACTTATCTCATAGTTCAAACATCTGTCAAATGAATGAAGAAGAGAAAAATCATACTCAAAATTTTTTCTCAAGGATACGTTATACCTCATTCTGTAGGCCTTTCAATTCTGCATCGTTCTATATACAAAGTATGCCTAATCTCTGTCTGTAGAAGAAACTATAGTCATTTTTATGTGCCACTACAGGAAAAGAAATTGAGATATCTGTCAAATATCTGTCCAATACATTTACGAAGGCAAACTTTTAAGATAATGTGTTATAACTCATTTTGTAGCCCGTGAAATTCTCTGTCGAACGGTATATAATAGTTGAGACTTGCTCTAAGTGATAGAGATAAAATAATGAAAATGTGTTGTGTAAATAAAGTTCATTTAATGAAAGAAAAGTTTCGTTTACGAAAATCAAGAGGCAGTGAAAAGGATTTTTAAGGTCTAAAAACATGTTAGCATTAACCGCTGACAAAAACTACATCAGATCGGTTAATACGAGTTTGATCTGTAAAGAGCCGATTTTGCCTCTTATCGACCCCGACCTTTAAAGACTTTTTGTCAAAATTATGAAGAGATAAAAATTTTGGAAGGATACCGAGAAAAAAAGTGGATTAGTGTTAATTCTAGAGAACGTTTTCTCTATAAATGAATAAAACGAATAGTATTAACACTCTCTTCCTTAGAATTTGCATTTAGAATTGTGACAGGTCATTCTACTAGTAACGAGTAAAAAGAAACTTTTTATCGGTACATGAATGTGCCAGATCTTCTAAATCAGACAGTAATTTAATATTACTCTTATTTTACTATGATAATAATCTTAATAGATCAAACAAAATTCTTATTTTCTTTTCTTTTTTTAGTGATTTTTTCATCTTTCTTCGCGAAAAATTCTCGTCCGACACAGCAAGAAACCAAAACTTTGCAATTATATCGGCAAGATAATGGATTAGTAAATTATCTTTCATTAGTTGTATAATAATTAATAATAAGTTCTTACGCTTGATGTCTCTATGTGTGATTGCTAGTAAATGCAATGATGAGAGAGAATCGACCATTTGCTTCTAAAACATTCGACAATAGCAATCGTTTTCACTTAAGAATTTGATTGAATAGATGCCTAATTTCAGGATGATGTACATAAGACCAAGTTCTGTCCTGTATACGAACGATTTTAATTACACAACTCGATTAGTAACAAAAACTCACATTTAATAACCTATGCATAACCTGTCGTTTGGCTCTTGCGGGATGATATACAGTCCTTTAACGGCAACTAGTAACTAATTGCACGTCCGATATTTTGTAAGCTATCGATATTTATCGTGACTCAATTCATATATGTTTAAATACGACTAATCAGAAACATGAATTATCGTAGGTCAATATACATTTTTTATACTGATCATGCTGTTCTCTGATGCTTTTATAGAATAGTTTGACATTTTTGCACGCCAAAACCTTTATTGTCTTAGTCGAGTAAGTACGATTGTTTGCTGCTGTCACTTAACGTATTGAGCTTTCTTCGGTTTGACTTGGGTGAGTATGAAAAAGCAAACTCAATACGTTATTATTGTCTAATCTGAGCTAATTTGTATATATTAACTATGGTGTCGCCCTAAAATAAGTGTTATTTATACTATTGAACCCATGAGTATCACTCGACTTTTCCTTCTTTCGTGTATTTAACAGAGAGAACTGATTTCTGTTCTATTTCGTAGAATACAACGCTGACTATCACCAATGAATGGCAAACAACAACATGTTATTGAAGTGGTTTCTAATTTTGAGCATGACATACATCTGTAAGATTATGGGAAAAGTCTTCATTATTTTGTACAAAAGATTTTTCTCACAAAGCTGTCATTTCCCAACAATTACAGAATTGTTCTTATAAAAATCTATGTTAAATATATGAATGATTGATATAAGACGATAAAAGACATAAAACTATAACCATCTTTATTATTACAGTTATAAAAACGTAAATCTACTTTTGTTGAAGTTGATACACAGCTGACAATATAATTCCAACTTTCACCAGTATTGCGAACAAAATTAAAAATATGGTTAGTAAAATTAATATTTGTTCCTGTGTTAAATGATACAGTAGGTTGTATATGCAGTAAATGAGTATAGATAAAAAAAGCTTTAAAAATTTTGTGGATATGAAATAATTTCATCATGAGTAATTTTATTTATTTAATTTATTTATTCCAATAGAAATTAAAATTTGATTCATATAATGCTGAAAGTAAACGAAATATTATTCTTTCTTATAGATATTAGTAGTTACAACAGAATCCAAAAAATACAAACTTTTTTTTAATACGATTGCATTAAAAAGAAAATACTTATAACAATACTTAGACACTTGAATACACACACAATATTTTTCACGTGTCAATTTGTAAAATATTATACGTTCTCAACTTGATATGAATAATTCTTTTGCATCACTATTCCCGTGACAATTGCACGCTTTCGTAATTGTATACTTTCTGTACAACTGAGATCTCTTTATACGCTTAAATGATTGTAGTAACAGGTAAACACTTGTGATCAATGGCACTTAAACCGACTAAATTAAATTCGGACAAAGCTAATACGATCATCGTAGGTTCGTTTGGTTTTTTCACAGCGGGGAATTTCTACGGAGAAAGTCTTTTTTGCGCGCATTCCGAGAATATTTTTTCATTATATAATTATTAGTAAAATTTTCTTTTCTCACAAGCGTCGACAAGAATGTTGATCTTGTATTTCACAGCACTATTTCCTCTAATATCCTGATATCTCACATTGTCTTTCCAAATTAACAAAAGTTTACTGAAATTCTAGAGAGAAAGAAAAAAATTTTCAAATTCAAATTTCAGATTTTATTTCTTCCCTTCCCCGATCGTATGCACTGCAGATCGTAGGTACTGACAGTAACTGCCGATTGAACTGGAAGAAGAATAGGGGAAATATCCCCTTTGTGCCTACCGTTACGGGCATAGGCTACCGACAAGTATTAGTTGCAACAGCACGATATTTTCCTTGCAGCTGCCAAAGCTTTTCGTGATCATCCCTATCGTCACTAGTCAGCAACCACAGCTCTGAACAGAAGGCTAACCTAATGCAGAGTTCTATTCGTCCAATTGCTTGAGCTCTCCATGCACACTCACTAATCAAGCACTAGCTTTAAGCAAAAACCACAAAGATTTAATGGAGAAACAGTATTGTACGTCACAACGTAGTGAATATGCTATCGGACGGATGATTCGAGAGACTAAGATTTGATTAACTTGCTTGGCGCTGACGTTCAAACACAGTACCATTATAGTACGTAACGAATAATATAATCATCAATTCAAACTGATTTGAATCAATATCAACTTTAGTTTGAATTCGTTGATGACTCAATCAATATCATCGTCATTGAAACTATCACCAACTAGATTAGTACTACTAGTTAGTGTTTTAATTTTAGCGTCATGTGAATCAAATTTGAATTTTTCACTGTAACAAATAAACTTCATGCGCCAAGATGTTTACTATCAGTGAACATTGGTAAAATATACCCCGAAGGTCTAATTATTGTTTCTTTTCTATTTGTTGCACTCGACAAAAAAAGATCGTTACATTTGTCATGATCAGCAACAAACAATCATTTTTTCTTTACTCATTTTTGAAGTTTCTTTCTAGTTGTTATTGTTAACCTGACGTGATAACATCATCAACAAATGGTGACAGGTCGAACATTGTTTTTTTCCCGTTCTTCCCTCCCTCTTATTATAGAACAAAATTTATTTGTATGGATTACTACAAGAGATACGTGCAAGTTTTACTAATGCTCTTTATTCATTCCAGAAGAAGTCATCATTTCCTTCTCTAGTTTTTAATCATATTTCTTCTTTAAGTAAACTCTGTTTCAATGTGGGATGTTCAAGATTATATATATTATTATAACAAAACGAGGAAGGGAAGAGAAAGAAAACTAATAATATCTGTAATAATACAGGAAGTTGGTTCATTGAAAATTTGAAGAATGAAAAAGAAATAAGTTTGTTTATTGTTTTTTTTTTTTTGCATGTTTAATAAAACCAAGAACAAAATAACTTTTTTGTATTTCAGAGAATCAATTACAATCAATATTACCAATCTTCTCTTCTTTTATTTAAAAAAATCATGATATATCCCTCTTCTTTCGCTGAAACATGCAAATTTCCTATATAAAGAAAGAGACTAATTTTTAGTTTTTTTTTTCTGTTTGAACTCCACAAATAGGAATGTTAATTGTTACGAATATATTTAAATATTCTTTATGACAAATCTATAGGTCTATATGCATGAAAAATGCTAAAACGTAAGTTTTTTGCAGTCATGTAAATGATATTCTAACGCCCACATTTTATCAAGTTAGATTTTTATACGTTATACACAGATTTAGATTCTATCTACTTTTAGCCACCTGCTTTCAGAATCTAAATAACGTTACTTAAAAAAAAGCATGTCAATTTAGACATGTTAAGATGGAGCACTACACTTTTCATTCAAGAAGCAACTCTATTCTTTAGAAGTGAACAAGTTGATTTTTTTTTATTTTGTTTTACTGAAAAAGAGAATATGAGTTTTAAAGATAAGAATTCATCCCACATTTGTTCATCTATATCTAATATAAGAAGTTTGTCATTTCCTGAACGCCTCTATCAAATCACACTTAGCTCGTCTTATGTTTCTTTCTTTTTCTTATATTCAAAGTAGTTTAATTTACAAAAAAAATTTTCTAATTACAATCCAACTCTATATCTATCGTTTTTTTAGTGAAAAGTATGTTGTAATCTACTAAATAGTCATATTTCAGTCTTATCGTTTGATCTTTCAAGAATTTCCTCTAAAGTTTCATCCGAGTGTTCTCGTTTTTTATTTATTATTTTTTTTCAACACATTATTCGCGGGTGTATTGAGAATTTAATATTTTTAAATGATAATTGTAGTATTAAAGATTTTTTTTCACACATGTATAGACAAGATAACTAAATTGTTAAGTTTTAATTTTCCCACAGAGAATGAAAGGCTTTGAGAAACAAAAAAAAGAAAAATGTCAAAAACTCACTTATAACTGTTTTTGAATAATACACCACTAAAAAAGAAAATAGTATAAATTTATTGTTGAGTACACCTTTCCTATGCTGATTATGTACGCTGTGTGGAAAATAAAAAAAAAAAAAAAAAAAAGAAGAAAATAAAACAAGAACAATTCCATAGGATCAAGAGGCGGAGTACAAAAGTTCTAAAAAATGAGAAGAAGAAAAACGAAATAGCACTCGGTAAGATGTAGAATTTTTACAATAAGAGTGAGGAAAAACCATTATGCTTTAGTCTATTAAAAAAAAATTCAGTGAGATATTATTACAACATGCCGACAAATTTATATTATCATTCATAGGAAAAAAATGTATGTTAAAACTTGAGAAGTAACATATAATAGAAATATATTCTAATAGTGTTTCTATCTCTCACACGTACGACGAGTTGAGATTGTCTTTGAAACAAAACTCCTCTTAGAAGAAAGACGAACAAAAAGGAGAAGACTGAATAAAGAATATTTTCTTTTCAAAAAGATCCTGCTACGGAAAATAAATTATTAGAGAGCTTTTCAATTCTCAGTTGTCTTTACTACAGACGTATCACAACAGTACGTGACATAAATTCATTACATTAAGATGTTCATTATTTTTTACACTTTTTTTTTTCTATCTCATTGTTGACACTGACATTTACACATGATGATATAGTATAGTTTTTCAGCTGAGAAACCGCTCTATATGAAGAGATAATTTCATAATCAGTGAACTTTTTTAATCTCTCACGTTAGATAGGCTCTTCTAATTCATTTGATTCAAATCTGCATCACTTTTTTCAGTGTGATTTTTTTCACTCTTCAAAATTTGGTACTTATTTGTCTTATAATTAGTAACTTCTTTTGTTTGTGTGAGATAGCAAGTATGTCGTGAATGCACTTCTGGTGTAGAAAACTTACACAAAGTCTTTTTTTGTTTCTATTTGATATATTTGTTTATGGACAACGATGACAAATGATTGACACGAGTATTGACACAATTTTTTTTCTCCACTGTACATTACTATATGAATGATAAAAACAGTTAAATAAAAACTTTTTCATCATTTTGAAGTTCCCATCTCATAAAATTTTATCTAATGGTACATTTTAAATGACTGTTTATGTCTGTAGCGGGTATCTATGTTACTATTCAGTCTTATTGTAAACAATTGCTCCTTTTTACGAGTCGTCAGCTGCATTATTATTATTTTGAATAGAACGTCTGTGACCATTACACATTTCATTTAGTTCTCTTCAGATGTGTGATATGTGAAATTACATGAAGGTTTTTGAAAAGAAATAGATACAAACCGAAATTTTTCATTGTCACAAAAAAGAAAAACAATAAAATGAAGAAATAAAAAGAAAAAATGGCCGCTGATAACCCTCGTATACCATTGATCAACTTAAATGTAACTGGTACGAATGTAAAATATACCGAACTAAGAAATGAAGTACCATCGTTAACAAAAACTGACGCACATCAATCATCTTCATCACAAATGACTACAATTAGCATACCAACAAACACTGTAGTCCATAATGAAAACATAACATTACCAATCTCGCCAACGTCACCAACGCAAACATCCGTAAACGATTACGAACTTCACCGGTTACCCATTCAACAACGTCGATTTATTAAAAAATCAATGATGTCAAATGTTGGATATCGATTAGCTAAACGAAAAGATCTCCATATTCGACGACGTATAACAAATGATATCATGTGTGCCATTGCTCTTTTGGGAATTTTTTTAATGATAACTGAAAATGAACTTACATTTAATCGAGTGGATCATAAAGATACAACAATCAGTTTACTGATAAAAGCCACCATTACATTTACGACAATAATTTTAACTGGTTTTGTTTTCTATTATCATCGTTTGGATATCAGTTTATACTGTGTGGATAATTCTATCGATGATTGGAGAATAGCACTGACCCGTTCAAAATTGTTCTTAATCATCTTAGAAGCATTTGTATGCGCTATTCATCCGATACCTGGTCATTTTCTTGTTGAATGGGGTTCTCAGTATGTTCATGGTTATATAAGTCTCCATCCGAATCCATATCAATCACCACAATTGTTCCCATCAATGGATAATTCAACCACAATGATGAATAGGGATGATAGCTCGGCATTACCGTCTGGTTCTTATGTACCGATTGATGTTATGTTATCACTGCCAATGTTTTTTAGGTTATATTTATTATGTCGTTTTATTATGCTGCGCAGTCATCTTGTTCGAGACGCATCATCACAATCATTGGGCTATTTAAATCGGGTGTCGTTCAACTTTCAGTTTGTTATTAAAGCGTACATCAAACAATCGCCGGCTTTCTCGTTAATGTCATTTTGTATCATCACCTTTTTTATTGCCAGTTGGTCACTGAGAGCATGTGATTACAATGTGAAAACGGGTCACATGCCAATGTTAGACGCATTGTGGCTTTTTATTGTAACATTTACAACGATCGGTAAGTTATTGTGATTCTTATATAAAAAATGCACTTTTATGGGTTTAGCGTATCAAGGTGCAACTACATGGAATACCGAAAATTTGTTGGATTTTAAAATAAAAAATGTTAACCTTTGTACTTGAATTTCCCCTAGATGTTGCCTTTGACTTCACCTCCAAGATACTATCTTCTGTTTTTTTTTCTATTTTCATATGAGACTTTTTACAGAGCAACTGATGAAACTTATTATACGGCGATAGTCTCTAAGTCATTCTGTAATTTTTTTTTCAAAATACTGAAAAACGTTATCTGACTGAACCAGCGCCTTTTGTTTTATAGTCCGAAAACAAAATGTTTCTCTCGTAAAAATAAGAGCTTTTTCCGATACTGTTACACTAAATATTGTAACTTTTATGATATATTTTCATAGTGGTTAGTACGTTAAGATTTATGGACTTTGTTTCTCAAAATATCAAATTGACGAGACAAAACTTATCGAATGTCAAACTTCTAACTATGTTCTCTAAGTGAAAATTTTGTTTTACGAATGATGTGCGAGTGATGCAGTTGTATAATCTTATCAAAACTATGACTTTTTTACTTTTACTACAGCACTGATTTTCCTAGAGATTTTGATGAAATAAATCTATAACTTGTTTGTATTTTTTTTTGACTGATTTTTTGAAATTTTTCTAGGCTATGGCGATATTGTACCATCGACGTATTGTGGACGAGGTTAGTTTGTTGAAATGATTTATATGTTAATCAAATTAATCAATAAATATTTGTTTTAGGTATTGCTGCAATATCCGGTTTAATTGGTGTTTTTGCTACAGCGTTACTAGTTGCCGTTATTTCACAGAAACTGGAACTAACCCGTTCAGAAAAATATGTTCATAATTTTGTAACTAATATTGAGCTGGCTAAAAAACATCGACATCAAGCTGCAAATGTTGTAAAATATGGCTGGAAAATATGGTATCTGAAACGGAGAGGAAAAGAAATGTTCATTGAGTATATTAAAGCCCAACGAAAATTGTTAACAGCTATACATTGCATTCGAAAAATAAAACAGGAACAACGAAAATTAGGTGATAATGCTATAACACTCTCAGAGCTACATAATTCACAAAAAATTATAAATCTCACCACTAATGATGTATCACAGCAAGTGCTTAATATGGAACGGAAAGTGGATGGTATTGAAGATAGACTGATAACAATGGGTATCAATTTACAATCAATGCATGATACAATGAATATTTTAATGGATAAATTGAACCGATGATTGTTGTTGTTTAGTAATAAAATTTTTATTTGTTGTTTTTGTTGTTGTTGTTGATGTTTACTTTTTATTGTACATACGCATAAATCGGATTAATTTATTTTCTGAAATTTCCATTGAACGGCTTAAAATCATTAGTTCTGATATCATTTTTATTTCCGAACATTTGTTATTTAATAAATGGGTATGTAGAGCTGCTAATGACAGCCTTTCGAATTAATTTCTTTTCGCAATATCAGACCACTAAGATGCAACTGTGTTGAGAATGTTGATCTATGGAAGCTACAAATCTCAATAGAAAAATTTATGCTATGCTGCTGAAAGTGTCGGTCACGTTTCTCCATGAAAATAAAGGTGATTCTTTTAGAATTGGAATCTTTTGCAGACTTTTTTAGATCTGAAAAAGATTGCTAGACATTCTCTACGAAAAGAACGCCATTGGTGACGTGCGCTCGGAGATAGAACATCAAACCGAGAATGAAGGATAGAAAATCAAATAGAAATTCCCTTGAAAAGATGATCCTGTCCAACCGAAAAAATCTTTAGCAGTGTTTGTAGTTGGGTGCACAAAAATGATCAGAAAAAAATTCTCTACAAAACGTGATACCTTGCAATCAATTCTAAAATATTTGATTTTTTTGTCCATTTCTCATAGACCCCATTAGAAATAAACCAAAAAAATCAAATATCTTAGAATTAATTGCAAGGTATGACGTTTCGTAAAGAGGATATGTGCCATTTTATCACCCGCACCCACCATCTTTTCAAGAGTACCCCTCCCTCTTTTTTCATCTTGTTGCCAAAAGTGGAGCACACGTCCGATTGAGCTCCAATTTATAGCAGAGATAGAACATCGAAAAAGAAAATCAATGTATTTTTGCCCAGAAGATATACGAAAACCGCTTTTCCTCTCGAGATATATGAAAAATGCTGAAAGCCAGTGAAAAAAACTGAAAAAAGCTGACTTTTTTTGCGTGATTTTCAGCATTTTTCGTATATCTCGATGCACGCACATTGAGGCACCTTTATTTTCATGGAGAAAAGTGACTGACAGTTTGAGTAGCAACACCAGGTTGGCACAGAATTCTTGATGGAGGAAGATGCTGTTCAGCCGCGTAGTGAAGAGCATGTTGAGAGATTTTCATTGATGTGCGGGGACGTACGTTTTCATCTTGTACTTGCTGTTGAAAATCGTTCACCGTTGTACTTCTTTCGTTCTGTCCGATTTCTCTCCCGTTGCGGTGTTCGTTCATTCTCTTTCTGTTCAGAGAATTGTAGATGAGCATCGTCCGTCCGGAGTTCTCTCTTCTTCCGTCCTGTTGTCGTTCTGGTTGACTTTGTTGTGTTGTCGATTGAAGATCGTTCGCGTTTTGATGTTGTCCATCGATATCGGATTGTGGGCGGTTCTTCTTGCTCTTATTTTTTTCAGCCATAAGAAACGTAACGTCGTCCATCTCTTCATCACCATTATCAATGTCATTGTGCCGTCGTTTGGGAGTCGACCACTCTGGTTGATAGAAAGGAGGTTGAGGATGCCGTCTCTGTCTGAGTTCTTCGTCTGCTTCCTAGAGCCCAATTCCATTGACCATGTGATCGTTTTCTGCCGTCGTCAGATTCACATATTGATTGTAAGGCATATTAATTAGTAATTACGAAGATATCAAGAGAAGTATATATGGGTAGCGCACGCTGCGTGTACACACACATAAAAGAAAGGAAGATGCAACTGCTCGCTATGTGTGGAAAGAGAGAAGTAACGTTGGTTATTTTACTCGTATGGTGTTGCTCTCCTTGCTCTCCTTCCAAAAAAGTAAAACCTCTAGGTGGAGTCGGTGGTGACCGGTCGTTATTGGCCCAATGATTTGGACATGAATTTGCATATGAACAATACTCGCCATTTGCGCGAGGCCGAGTTCAGTCGAATCTTCCTTTTATTCGAGACCGGTCTGTGGGCGGCAAGGGCGCACAGACGAAAAAACGATGCAAAAATGGGTTTTCTCATCGTGCTCTTCGCATTCAATATCGACAGAGTCTTCAATTGGATGATCGGCTCTCGTTCACAGCTCGTATTGTCGGATGGGATGAACGAGCTTTCTACATTGAACAATGGATGACTCTCGATAAAAAGCAGCGAGTGGCTTGTTCTGTCTTAATAGCGCAAATCGTCATCACTTCATGTTCTCTGTCGCGTCAGATGCTTATGGAAGATCCTGGCTACGAATCGATCGAATCGCCCGTTCTTCCGCCTTCTGTCAAGGTCTTCAAACAGAATTACAAAGTTTCACATCTTCGATTGCATGACTTTCACATCTTCGAAGCCTCAACTGTAATTGTGATTTTATTTTTTTCGATTGATCATACAACGATTCGACATCGAGGTTCTCACTTCCATCTGAACGAGCATTTCTCGATTTCAAATGGAATTAGCGTAGAAAAGAAAGATCAACAGAATTCGACTGCTGTTAGTGAGGACGAACAAGGATTGATGTTCGCCGATTTCGATTGAATATGATTCACAAAATCAATTCATTCAGCTTTGATCTACCTTTCAATCTGAAATCCACTTTTGGCGAATGACTGATTGACATTTTCTTGGAACGAGAGCAGTTGTTTCTCTTTTTCAAGTCAACCACGCGCAGTGCCATCGATCATAGTAAGAGAAGATTGCCCCGAGATTCCATTGGAACGATACCTTCAAACTGTTTGTTTCATCAAATACACGATTCAGAATGCTGAAAAAGACTTGTTAAGATTTGAAAACTTTAGATGATAGAATTCGGCTTAAAGTGTTCTACTGGGTATTGCATCTTCTTCCATCGATGATAATGAACTTTTGCCGTAATCCGTATGCCATATCAAATAAAACTTTGACATTTTTCAAGTTGTGCTTTGATTTGAATAGTGTATCGTAAAAGTGAGATTGGCAGTTTGTTTTATTTGTTTTGCGTTCTTCCAAAATTGTGGTACGAAACCAAGAAAGTAGAGAAAAGGTGTACCGGCAGCAATATATTCAGGAATGCTTGCAAATGTGATTACCCAAATAATTGAACAGGTAATCGTGATGATAGTACATCCAAGAAACCACAATACTAAAATAAAATTTGAATGTTCTGAAGCTTTTGATCGATGGATGAACAGATAAATTATAGTAATGGTATGAAGAAGACAATAGGTTGAAATGCTACTAAATGTCCCGATTGCCCCGATGTCGTGTATATGTTCACGATCGTCGAGGCTTACAATGGCCATAATTAGAACAAATATGCCAGAGATGAGTGCAATGACATGAATAAAAAATATTATAACACGATGGATAATTGTTTGAGATTGAATTAGAAATTGAAATCTACCAATAAATATGATTAATAGTTGTGGAATCAAAATAATAAAACCGGACATAAAATAATAGTGAGCTTGACCAGTTCCAAGTTCAGATATTTCAGGTAATTTTTTTCCTGATTGAATATTATTCGGTATTTGACTGCATATAATTAAGGTCAAAACAAATGTTAGAACGGAAGTAAACGGCAAGATAAGTAATATTCGAAACCATATCACAGTACCGATATTCGTCATATCGTGTGCAATACTGAGAGAATAAACGAAGCTGGCGTGAGCTAAAAAATAACTGATGTGTGATATTGAAAGAAATAACATTTATCATATGCATCTTTCCTTATCATAATACGTGATGAAGAAAAAACAAGAAAAATATTTGTTTTTGCTACGTCAACTCTATTGACATAAAGATCTTGAGGGAGAACAGCGCTGTCATTCGATACTAAAGACTTGTTCGACGTTTCCATACTGGTTAAGGGTACTGTTAAGGGAAAACTTCAGTTTTCATCGGGTCACATTACAAAAAAATGGTCGGATCGAGCTCAAATTTTTACCACAGATACTTCAGACCCTATCTCAGAATGGAAATTTGTTTTTCTAAAAGATATGCTTTCCTTCTCGAGATATACGAAAAATGCTGAAAATCACGGAAAAAAAGTCAGCTTTTTTCAGTTTTTTTCACTGACCAAACCTCGAACAAGTCTTTAGTATCGAATGACAGCGCTGTTCTCCCTCAAGATCTTTATGTCAATAGAGTTGACGTAGCAAAAACAAATATTTTTCTTGTTTTTTCTTCATCACGTACTATGATAAGGAAAGATGCATATGATAAATGTTATTTCTTTCAATATCACACATCAGTTATTTTTTAGCTCACGTCAGCTTCGTTTATTCTCTCAGTATTGCACACGATATGACGAATATCGGTACTGTGATATGGTTTCGAATATTACTTATCTTGCCGTTTACTTCCGTTCTAACATTTGTTTTGACCTTAATTATATGCAGTCAAATACCGAATAATATTCAATCAGGAAAAAAATTACCTGAAATATCTGAACTTGGAACTGGCCAAGCTCATTATTATTTTATGTCCGTAAAAAATAAGAGCAAGAAGAATCATCCATAAACCGATCAAAAATGTCATGGATTTGGACATTATCGCTCTGAAGGTCATGAACAGTATAAACTCTGTAAAATTTGTTCTGAACAGCTTGTACCGCATCGAGAGCATAAGCGTTCTGGTGAGATAAATTGTAGAAACTGTTCCTAACCCCACATTATTGAGTCTAACCCCACATGTATTATGATAGTCGTTGTCCCGCTCTTATCGATTATTGTAGAGTGTTAAATTTTTCATCAAAACGTGCTAATTTTTCATCAACTTTTACTGACACCCTCAGCCCCAAATACTGAAGAATTCCATTGAAAAGCATAGTACCCAGCTGTAGACTAATCAGTTTTAGTGTCAGTTTCCTGATCAAGTTTCTAGAAAAGGTTTCTGATAGGAATTATCCTGCAAAAAAATCATTAATTATTTTCTTGTAAATATTAAATTAAGCTTTAATATCTCATTTTTAGATTCTAAAATTAGGAAACAATAGAAACCTGTTCTGTTGACTTTAAAGACACCTTGTAGACACATACCTTTTTTTATCCAGTGTCACGTTACTGTTTATACTTATTCCGTTGACTGGCTGCATCCACCCCGGCTTGACATTGTGAAACAATATAAACATGTCTATTGATCATATCAGTATTAGTACTCCAGCAGCAGAATACGATAAGACGTTGTTATTCTATGAGAACGTTCTATCTACATTAGGATATAAAAGGTTGTATACCATTGACAATAAAGCGGCTGGGTTTGGTCATCGATACCCTGCATTCTGGGTGGGTGCAGCTAATCCCAGTCATAATATAATACTTGAGTCTCGCCAGCATGATCGTCGTAGTGGTAATCATATTGCATTTGTGGCTAAATCACGCACCGCAGTCGATGAATTTTATCGTGTAGCATTGATCAATGGTGCCAAAGATAATGGAGCACCAGGTTTTCGGCCACAGTATCATAGATTTTATTATGGAGCATTTGTGATTGATGCCGATGGTAATAATATTGAAGCTGTCAATCATTTTGATTGGCGAACGTTCATTGGATGGAAATCACTAGCAACAATAACAACCATAACAGCATTAATCGTTGGAGTACTCATTACACAGCAATTCACGTAGACATCAGCTTAGAATTTACTTTTTTTAACTTTGATTAATCTGTGTAAACTTATCTGTAAATTTATCTAGTTTCTTAGTACCTACCACATTATTATGATTTAATTCAAATTATTTATTACATAAATACGATCACTTACCAATATCGTTGGATATTGTCTAAAAGCACATGGAAAAATGAAGACAAATAAAAACAGCTTTATTCATTAAAGAAACAATTTCCTTTTCTTTTTTTCAAGGTGATCAGAAAAAATGCATTTTATCGCTTCTTAGATCTTGTATTAATACGAATATTTGCAAAATGTATGAATTATTATTTCCTGTATTGAATATTCAAGGTCATACAAAAATACGTAGCTGTTTGCTTGTTCATGCGCAAGATGCCGTGTAATAAACCATAACATTAAGATGTCTGATGTAAGGAAAGATAACAGGCACT